AATTATGCATTGTTATGTGTCATTTTTTAAAATTTTTTGTCTGTATCCCCCTTCCCTGGTTTGAGTTGTGAGCCGCCCTGAGTCCCTTCGGGGGAAAAGGGTGGCATATAAATATAATAAACAAACAACAAACAAACAAACTTGTGGACTTGTGAATGACTTCAACTCCCAGAATTCTCCAGCCAGCTCTGGGAGTTGAAGTCCACAAGTCTTAAAGTTGCCAAGTTTGGGAACCACTGCAGTAGGGGAATGAAAGAGGTCAGTGAGGTGGACTGGAGTTACCCACTTTGGAAAAGTTTGGGATCTTAAGGTAAAGGTAAAGGTTCCCCTCGCACATATGTGATAGTCGTTCCCGACTCTAGGGGGCGGTGCTCATCTCCGTTTCAAAGCCGGAGAGCCAGCGCTGTCCGAAGACGACTCCGTGGTCATGTGGCCGGCGTGACACAATACCGAAGGTTCACGGAACGCTGCATGCCTGTTGCCAAGCAGCCAAAGTTTGACCACATGGCCATGGGGACGTTGTGACAGTTGTAAGTATGCAAGGTCATAAATCACTTTTTTTCAATGCCACTTTTGACTTCCACTAAACGTGTGGCAAGTCGTGGACTACCAGTGCACCTTCAACCCGGCTAGCAAGTGATTGATTTATTGATTTATTATATTTGTATGCCGCCCTTTCCCCCCGAAAGGGACTCAGTGCTTCTTGGGATGATGGTTTCTGGGGGTTTTCGGTGTCTAAACTCTCCGATTTGATTCCAGACCAAAGTGCTGCAGACTCTAATCGGCTACCTTGCCTTGGACACCACACGCCGTTCACTACTGACCAAAGTAAGCAGTGTATTTAATGGAAGGGATTTAAATGGTGGGCCTAAATAAGGGGGAGGGTCGGAGGAAGCCATCCTTGTGGTGGCTTCATGGTCTGCAGGTGATGCTTCTCTCTGCTTGAGAGAGGCAGATGGGAGGCAGCATCAGAACTGGCGCCGGAGTTAATTCCAGAGTCAAATGGTCTCAATCTGGCCAGAAGATGCTTTGGATTCGCACGGCTCAATACATCGATAAAGAAAAGAGTAAAAGAAGTTGGTTGTTTAAAAGGATGACTCTTCCTCTTATTATTATTATTTTTCCTGCAACAACCACCTTCTTGAGCAGGTTGAGTTGAGAGGGAGAAAGTGATCCAAAGTTGCTCTGGGAGCTTCTGTGGCTGATGCTGGACTCGAACCTGAGTCTCGTTAGTCTTGATCACCTTAAAACACTCAAAAGAGCCATTTGGACACGTCTCCCACAGAAAAGAAAACACCAGGAGCCACAAAACCCTTTTGACATCCAAAATGAAGATAACGCTATATATATTATAGCAATAGCAATAGCAGTTAGACTTATATACCGCTTCATAAGGCTTTCAGCCCTCTCTAAGCGGTTTACAGAGTCAGCATATTGCCCCCAA